TTTTGGAGGAGGGGGGTTTGTGCTACAAGGGGGGGGGGGGATTTGTGCTAGGAGGGGGGATTTTGGAGGAGGGGGGGTTTGTGCTACGAGGGGGAGATTTGTGCTAGGAGGGGAGATTTTGGAGGATTGGGGTTTGTGCTCTGAGGGGGGCATTTGGAGGAGGGGGCTTTCTGCTACGAGGGGGGCATTTGGAGGACAGGGCTTTGTGCTACAAGGGGGAGATTTGTGTTGGGAGGGGGATTTTGGAGGAGGGGAGTTTGTGCTACGAGGGGTATTTTTGAGAAGGGGGGGGGGGGGGGGTTTGTGCTAGGAGAGGGGATTTTGGAGGTGGGGGGTTTGTGCTATGAGGGAGAGATATGTGCTGGGAGGAGGGATTTTGGAGGAGGGGGGTTTGTGCTACGAGGGGGAGATCTGTGCTAGGAGGGGGGATTTTGGAGGAGGGGGGTTTGTGCTACGAGGAGGAGATTTGTGCTAGGAGGGGGAATTTTGGAGGAGGGGGGTTTGTGCTACGAGGGGGAGATTTGTGCTGGGAGGGGAGATTTTGGAGGAAGGGGGTTTGTATTATGAGGGGGGGGGAATTTGTGCTACGAGGGATTTTGGAGGGGGGGTTTGTGCTACGAGGGGGGCATTTGTGCTACAAGGGGGGATTTTGGAGGAGGGGGCTTTGTGCTACGAGGGGGAGATTTGTGTTAGGAAGGGGAATTTTGGAGGAGGCGAGATTTGTGCTAGGAAGGGGGATTTTGGAGGAGGGGAGATTTGTGCTAGGAAGGGGGATTTTGGAGGAGGGGAGAGATTTGTGCTAGGAGGAGGGATTTTGGGGGGGGGGGTGCTACGAGGGGGGAATTTGTGCTACAAGGGGGGGGATTATGGAGAATTGGGGTTTGTGCTACGAGTGGGAGATTTGTGCTAGGAGGGGGGATTTTGGAGGATTGAGGTTTGTGCTATGAGGGGGGCATTTGGAGGAGGGGGGTTGGTGCTACGAGGGGGAGATTTGTGCTGGGAGGGGAGATTTTGGAGGAGGGGGGTTTGTATTACGAGGGGGGCATTTGTGCTACAAGGGATTTTGGAGGGGGGGGTTTGTGCTACGAGTGGGGCATTTGTTCTACAAGGGGGGATTTTGGAGGATGGGCTTTGTGCTACGAGGGGGAGATTTGTGCTAGGAAGGGGGATTTTGGAGGAGGGGAGATTTGTGTAGGAAGGGGGATTTTGGAGGAGGGGAGATTTGTGCTAGGAGGAGGGATTTTGGAGGGGGGGGGGGGTTGTGCTACGAGGGGAAGATTTGTGCTAGGAAGGGGGATTTTGGAGGAGGGGAGATTTGTGCTAGGAAGGGGGATTTTGGAGGAGGGGAGATTTGTGCTACGAAGGGGGATTTTGGAGGAGGGGAGATTTGTGCTACGAAGGGGGATTTTGGAGGAGGGGAATTTGTGCTATGAGGGGGGAATTTGTGCTACAAGGGGGGATTTTGGAGGATTGGGGTTTGTGCTACAAGGGGGAGATTTGTGCTAGGAGGAGGGATTTTGGAGGAGGGGGGTTTGTGCTACGAGGGGGGATTTTGGAGGATTGGGGTTTGTGCTACGAGGGGGGAATTTGGAGGATTGGGGTTTGTGCTACGAGGGGCAGATTTGTGCTAGGAAGGGAGATTTTGGAGGATGTGGGTTTTTGCTACGAGGGGGGAATTTGTGCTACAAGGGGGGATTTTGGAGGGGGGGGGAGTTTGTGCTACGAGGGGGAGAATTGTGCTAGGAATGGGGATTTTGGAGGATTGTGGTTTGTGCTAGGAGGGGGGAATTTGTGCTACAAGGGGGGATTTTGGGAGGGGGGGGATTTGTGCTAGCTGAGGGGATGGGGGGGATTTAGAACCTACTGATCGCTTAACTCTGCCTTTTCAAAACTACATTTTAGGGCTTTTTCACACCGGGTGCAGTGCGGTAACACACATTTTTCTGCACCACACAAAAATGTGTTGCCTTTTGCATTTGCACGCAGGCACCAATAATTCTTAAGGGAACCCCCACACATCCACCAAATAAATTCATGTTTTCACCCGCTAAGATGCACGGTACTGCAGTATGATATTTTGGTGGTGCTCATTTTAAAAGCCATGTCAGCACTTTTTTTTGCATGTTTCACTAGTATAGAGCAGACTAATCAAAAACGTGGGAACACGCAAAACAAAAAACGCTCACACTCACACGCACTGCCTTGTGAACGAGCCCTCAGACTGCTGTGCCTCGGGATTGTGCGCAATTCTAAATCAGGATGCTGGTATGGGGTATGGCGGTGCTCAGGACGTTGGTATGGGGTACGGCGGTGATCAGGACGTTGGTATGGGGTATGGAGGTGATCAGGACGCTGGTATGGGGTATGGAGGTGATCAGGACGCTGGTATGGGTATGGAGGTGATCAGGACGCTGGTATGGGGTATGGCGGTGATCAGGACGCTGGAATGGGGTATGGCGGTGATCAGGACGCTGGTATGGGGTATGGAGGTGATCAGGACGCTGGTATGGGGTATGGAGGTGATCAGGACGCTGGTATGGGGTATGGAGGTGATCAGGACGTTGGTATGGGGTATGGTGGTGATCAGGGCTGGTATGGGGTATGGGGTGATCAGGACGCTGGTATGGGGTATGGCGGTGATCAGGACGCTGGTATGGGGTATGGTGGTGATCAGGGTGCTGGTATGGGGTGATCAGGACGCTGGTATGGGGTATGGCAGTAATCAGGAGGCTGGTATGGAGGTGATCAGGAGGCTGGTATGGGGTATGGCGGATCAGGAGGCTGGTATGGGGTATGGAGGTGATCAGGATGCTGGTATGGGGTATGGGGTGATCAGGACGCTGGTATGGGGTATGGAGGTGATCAGGACGCTGTTATGGGGTATGGCAGTGATCAGGACGCTGGTATGGGGTATGGCAGTGATCAGGAGGCTGGTATGGGGTATGGAGGTGATCAGGACGCTGGTATGGGGTATGGAGGTGATCAGGACGCTGGTATGGGTATGGAGGTGATCAGGACGCTGGTATGGGGTATGGCGGTGATCAGGACGCTGGTATGGGGTATGGAGGTGATCAGGACGCTGGTATGGGGTATGGCGGTGATCAGGACGCTGGTATGGGGTATGGAGGTGATCAGGCCGCTGGTATGGGGTATGGAGGTGATCAGGACGCTGGTATGGGGGTATGGCGGTGATCAGGACGTTGGTATGGGGTATGGCGGTGATCAGGACGCTGGTATGGGGTATGGAGGTCATCAGGACGCTGGTATGGCGGTGATCAGGACGCTGGTATGGGGGTGATCAGGATGCTGGTATGGGGTATGGCGGTGATCAGGACGCTGGTATGTGGTATGGCGTGATCAGGACGCTGGTATGGGGTATGGTGGTGATCAGGACGCTGGTATGGGGTATGGGTGGTGATCAGGACGCTGGTATGGGGTATGGCGGTGATCAGGACGCTGGTATGGGGTATGGTGGTGATCAGGACGCTGGGTATGGTGGTGATCAGGACGCTGGTATGGTGGTGATCAGGACGCTGGTATGGGGTATGGCGGTGATCAGGAATGCTGTTATGGGGTGAGTGGACGGTGATCCACCCGTCAGTATGGGTATGGCGGTGATCAGGACGCTGGCATCCGGGGTTATGGCGGTGATCAGGACGCTGGAATGGGGTATGGCGGTGACCAGGGCGAGGGGTATTCGGTGGTGATCAGGGCTTTCTGGTTGGAGGTGATCAGGATGCTGGTATGGGGTATGGAAATGATCTTGAATCTAAAATAAAATAATGAAAATCAGGAGTGGTTCACCAAGGAGGTGAAGTTCAGGATGATGGTATTAGTTGGAGGTGATCAGGACTGCTGTTGTATGGGGTATGACCACATATCAGATTCTGGACAAATATGTGTGAGTGATCAAGCTGGACACAGCCCATGGCTGACCCAGGAGTGGTATGTGTATGGAGGTGATCAGCTGATGCTGGTATGGGGTATGGCCCCTGATCAAATTACGCCCGGTGATCAGGACTCTGGTATGGGTACTGTTGTCCATGTATGACCACATATCAGTTCTCCGACACCATCTGTGTGAGTAGACCAAGCTGGACACAGCCCAAGCTGACCCAATGTAGTCATGATGTATGGCCTCAGCTGATGCTTCTCTGGCCACACCCCCTGACAAATTACGCCCGAGGGGGGGGGGGTCACAGAGGTCACCTGCATTGGGTCCTTGGTGTCCTTTCCCTCGGTCTACCTAACTTCAGAGATGGTGGTCTTGGAGGCCTGCTCCCGAGTTCTGAGCACCAAAGGGAGGTTCCTGTAGCCTCTGGCTTGAAGGCGAGCAGGACATCTGTGTGAGACTGAGATCGAGTATTACTAAGAATTTGATTCCCACCGGGATGGGGGATCGGCGGCTTGTTCACAGAAGTCACCTACATTGGGTCCTTGGTGTCATTTCCCTCGGTCTACCTACACTTCAGAATTGGTGGTCTTGGAGGCCTGCTCCTGAGTTCTGAGCACTAGAGAGGGGTTCCTGTAGCTGGTCCATGGGGCTTGAAGGCAAGTCAGGCCTCTGTGTAAGACTGAGATCAGGAGCTGGTATGAATATGATTCCACCTGGTGGGGGTATGGAGGTGATCTTGGACACTGGTATGGAGGTAGACGCTGGTATGGGGTATGAATATGGCGGTGATTCAATGCAGGAAGGGGGCATGAGTGGTTGGTCACAGAGGTCACCTCCAGGTTCTTGGTGTCCTTTTCGGACTGTCTACCTACACTTCAGAATTGGTGCTCTTGGAGGCCTGCTTCTGAGTTCTGTGCACCAGAGGGGGGTTCCTGTAGCCTCCGGCTTGAAGGCGAGCACCATCTGTGTGAGACTGAGATCGAGTATTACTAAGAATTTGATTCCCATATGCGTACAAACGTCACACCACACCCCCAGCACTTCAGCACATCCTTGTCACGCTCTCAGGGGACCATGACCACATCAACTGAACCACCAAAGCTTGTTAGCCCGTGTGAACTCTCTGGTGTACTGTAAGTGTAGTCCTGTTACTGAAACATTTCCCACACTCCGAACACGAATAAGGACGCTCCCCCGTGTGGATCCTCTGGTGAGTGACAAGTGCATATTTGAGAATGAAGCATTCCCGCACTCTGAACACGAAAAAGGGCGCTCTGAATCCCCCCCCCCCTCGAAAAGGGCGATCTCCCGTGTGGATCCTCTGATGGTTGACAATTTCCGCTTTCGAAATGAAACATCTCTTGCATTCAGAACACGAATACGGGCGCTCGCCCGAGTGTGGACCTCATCTGGTGCGTAACAAGTGTGCTCTTCTGAATGAAACATTTCCCGCACACTGAGCATGGATAAGGCCGCTCGCCCGTGTGAGTCCTTTGGTGTTTAACAAAGTGTCCTTTCTGAGTGAAACGTTTTCCGCACTCTGAACACGAATAAGGACGTTCTCCTGTGTGACTTCTCTGGTGCTTCCGAAGATTTTCTTTTTGAATGAAACATTTCCCGCATTCTGAACACGAATAAGGGCGTTCGCCTGTGTGACATCTCTGGTGCTTTAGAAGCTTTTGTTTGGTGGTGAAACATTTCTCACACGCCGCACACGAATGAGGACGCTCGAACACGAATAGGGGCGCCCGTGTGACTCCTCTGGTGTTTCAGGAGGTTTCCTTTTTGGGTGAAACTTTTGTTTCAGGAGGTTTCCTTTTTGGGTGAAAACTTTTCCCGCACTCTGAACACGAATAGGGGCGCTCCCCCGTGTGACTTCTCTGGTGTTTAACAAGGTTCCATTTCTGAATGAAACACTTCCCGCACTCCGAACACAAATAAGGACGCTCACCCGTGTGAATCATCTGGTGTTTCAGGAGGTGTCCTTTATCGTTGAAACCTTTTCCGCACTCGGAGCACGAATAAGGGCGCTCCCCCGTGTGACTTCGCTCATGTTTAAGAAGGCTTACCTTGTGGATAAAACATTTCCCGCACTCTGAACACGAGTAAGGACGCTCTCCTGTGTGGCTTCGCTGGTGTTTGAGAAGGTTTCCTTTCTGATAGAAACTTTTCCCGCACTCCGAGCATGTATGTTCATCCGTGGGACGTTTCTCAGGTCTAAGAGGTGCTCTGTTTTCTGTGAATGATTTCCCGCACATTGAACCAGACAAGGAGCTCTCTTCTGTGCGAACTTCGTGGATTAAAGAAGATCCCTTGGGATGAGACGGATCTGTTGATGGGTCTGTACGGTGAGATCCCAGATGGAAATCTTGGGCATGCGATTTGTCAGACGATTCCTCGGGATTCCAGGGATCCCTTGATCGCCCCAATCGGTAAGGTCTGCGACGTATATGTTGAATGAAGGGAGAATATTGGACAGTGTCCCGATTGTCCTCATTATATTCTGAATTGAAAAGAATTCCTCCCTCCGAAATATTCTCGAAAAATCGTCCGTCTGTTGGAAAATAAAATTAAACGAAAGGTTAGAAGGATTCTTCATGCCATAAATCAACCGCTTCATGACCGCCCTATAGAAGAAGTATTGCTACAGGGCGGCAGGGCTGCGCAAAATCACACATAGACATGTGATTTTGTATTTCTGGGTAGGGGGCGCTCATGTGCTCCCTCCCCCTCCGCTATTGGCTCCTCCAAATGTCAATCACCAGGTCCCGGAGGCTGATTCTCAGCGGGGACTCAGTGATCATTGGCGGAGCTGACAGGGGAGAGGTCTGTATGTAAACAAACAGGGGAGAGGTCTTTATGTAAACAAACAGAAGGTGCCTGTATGTAAACAAACGGGAGAGGTCTGTATGTAAACAAACAAGAGATGTCTGTATGTAAACAAACGAGAGATGTCTGTATGTAAACAAACAGGGGAGAGGTCAGTATGTAAACAAAGAGGGGAGAGGTCTGCATGTAAACAAAAAAGATCTCTCTCCTGTCAGCAAGGACATGCTGCTTTGTATCTCTCCGCACAGCAGCATGTATCCCTAGTAACACAACCAGCACCCAGGGCCAGTTCACACTCCATGCGGTTCAATAGCTTTTTTTTCTGCATCCAAAATGCACAGAAAGTAGATGATATAGTTGTCAATGTCATAGTTCACATCTGCGCTCGCAGTCCTGGGTGCAGAAAAGAAAGTAGAACAGGCGTCATTTTTGTGTGCACAGGACTGTATTGGAATGCGGTAAAACGCATCAAAAATGCACCGGAACGCACTGGAATGCACATGTCCCTATTTAAATTGAAGAAAAAGAGAGATGGGAAAAATGAACTGGAATGCATAAAAAAATGCACCAAAAACGCAGCAGAACGTCCCAGATCGCACATGTCCATATTTAAATTGAAGAAAAAGAGAGGGGGGAAGTGAACTGGAATGCATCAAAAACACACCGAAATGGAGATGGACCTTTCATATGGTGTCCAGTATCTCCTCCTCATTTGTTGGGAACATGACGTTATATTGAGGAACGGAGATGGACCTTCCATATGGTGTCCAGTATCTCCTCCTCATTTGTTGGGAACATGACGTTATATTGAGGAATGGAGATGGACCTTTCATATGGTGTCCAGTATCTCCTCCTCATTTGTTGGGAACATGACGTTATATTGAGGAATGGAGATGGACCTTTCATATGGTGTCCAGTATCTCCTCATTTGTTGGGAACATGACGTTATATTGAGGAATGGAGATGGACCTTCCATATGGTGTCCAGTATCTCCTCCTCATTTGTTGGGAACATGACGTTATATTGAGGAATGGAGATGGACCTTTCATATGGTGTCCAGTATCTCCTCATTTGTTGGGAACATGACGTTATATTGAGGAATGGAGATGGACCTTTCATATGGTGTCCAGTATCTCCTCCTCATTTGTTGGGAACATGACGTTATATTGAGGAATGGAGATGGACCTTTCATATGGTGTCCAGTATCTCCTCCTCATTTGTTGGGAACATGATGTTATATTGAGGAATGGAGATGGACCTTTCATATGGTGTCCAGTATCTCCTCCTCATTTGTTGGGAACATGACGTTATATTGAGGAATGGAGATGGACCTTTCATATGGTGTCCTGTATCTCCTCTTCATTTGTTGGGAACATGACGTTATATTGAGGAATGGAGATGGACCTTCCATATGGTGTCCAGTATCTCCTCCTCATTTGCTGTAAACAGTGGATAGTGTTGTTAACACAAAGATTATATTCCTATAAGTAGGACATTTTCTTTTGCATGGGTCTTATTTTCCAACTCGTGTCACAGTATAATTGTATACATAATCACAGAAACAAAATGAAAATGTAAACTATTTTTTAATTTAGCTTTTATGACTTACTTGTGTCCATATGTAGAGAAGATTCCTCCGGTTTACTTGGCATAATCATCTCCCCCTCCTCCATAGACTGCTGATCTGCACTCACCAACGTCTCTTCTTCTTCCTCTTTAATCTCAATTTTGATGGCTTTCAGTTCTTCTTCCTAAACCCCAAAGATGATAAATTGTTAATATTGATATAATAATTAACATTTCTAAATAGTAACTTCCAATAATAAGCAGTTACACGGAAACATTTTATCTCCATAGTTTAGAATACTTTTTGATCATGGTATATGTATATGTGATCATCCTGTTTGGAATCCCAGGAATACAGAGGACCATCCTTCTCCATGGACTGCTGATTTACCCCCACCAATATCTCTTCTTCCTCAACTTTGATGTCTTTCAGATCTTCATCCTAAACCCCAAAGATGATAGGATACACATGTAAAAAGGAACAAGAGGTTACATAATCTAATATCATCTTATATACCAAAACTCATTTTAGGTCTACATGCTCAATATCCTGTACCTGGTCATGATTTGTATATTTATAAAATTCCTTTGTGGAACCCCAGGAACAGAGAGGACTGTCCTCCTCCATAGACTGCTGATCTCCCCTCACCAACGTCTCTTCTTCTTCCTCTTTAACCTCAACTTTGATGTCCTTTAGTTTCTCACCCTAAACTCCAATGATGACAGAAAAAAAGGAACAAAAGGTTAGCTAGAAGAACGTAATCTCATAGCTTAAAATATATTTTTAGGTCTTCATGCTCAGTCCCACCTACCTGATGATGGTGGGGGATGGTGTGACCTTCCAGTGTGGAACCCTGGGAATACAGATGATGGGGACATCTCTCTGGTGGGTTCCCATTACTGGATCCATCTACCTGATGATGGTGAGGGATGGTGTGACCTTCCAGTGTAGAACCCTGGGAATACAGAGGATGGGGACTACTTCTGGTGGGTTCCCATGACTGGATCCATCTACCTGATGATGGTAGGGGATGGTGTGACCTTCCTGTGTGGAACCCTGGGAATACAGAGGACGGGGACATCTCTCTGGTGAGTTCCCATTACTGGATCCATCTGTAGGAAACACACACACTGACTGAATCCATTGTTTCTATGTGTTTATCAGATGATGGGGGATCTAGGTGGACCCTCCGTACTGCTCTCTCCTTTACAATAAAGTCTCCTCTTACCCGGTGATGTGAGGGGCGGCTGATTGTCCATCATGATGTCCTTGTAGAGGTCCTTGTGTCCTTCTAAATACTCCCACTCCTCCATGGAGAAATAGACAGTGACACCCTGACACCTTATAGGAACCTGACACACACAATGATACAGTCACCATCCAGACACATCCCTTGTCTGTTACTGGAGAATGTCCCAGAATTCCCGGCACCGCTCACCTCTCCTGTCAGCAGATCAATGATTTTCTGGGTAACTTCTAGAATCTCTTGGCACTGGTTCCCTCTGTTGTCAGGCAGTGAGGTGGAGGCCCTGTGATGGGTGATGTCCTGTGAAGAGGGCTGGTGGGTGGTAAAGGCTCACCAGACGTTTTCTTCACGACTTTATAATCCTGTGTATAGGGAGGAAGTAACAATTGTTACTACAGACTTCCCATAATCTTCCTCACCTCTCTGGTCAGGTCTGTGTTTTACTAATAGAGATGAGAGTGATGTCATGTGACCTCCCAGAATCCTCCTCACCTCTCCGGTCAGGTCCGTGTTTTATTAATAGAGATGAGAGTGATGTCATGGACCTCCCAGAATCCTCCTCACCTCTCCAGTCTTGTCTGTGTTTTTTATTAATAGAGATGAGAGTGATGTCATGTGACCTCCCAGAATCCTCCTCACCTCTCCGGTCAGGTCCGTGTTTTATTAATAGAGATGAGAGTGATGTCATGGACCTCCCAGAATCCTCCTCACCTCTCCAGTCTCGTCTGTGTTTTATTAATAGAGAGATGAGAGTGATGTCATGTGACCTCCCAGAATCCTCCTCACCTCTCCGGTCAGGTCTGTGTTTTATTAATAGAGATCAGAGTGATATCATGTGACCTCCCAGAATCCTCCTCACCTCCTCCTGATCTATACAGGACTCTCCTCTCTGTAGACGGATAATAAGCTGAGAATTATCTGGACTGGGAAGAATAATGTTCCTCCAGAGTTCTGACACCTTAAACTGTTTCTCGTAATACACTACAGGACTCACTAAAAGAAATCTTAGGACTCTTTTTAAAAGCAAAGTTCTCTAACTACCCCGTATATCTTAGATTTGAACTAACTGAGTCATATGTCGAAGATTTTATCAGTTGGTGTCCCACTTGAGAAGACTTCCCTCACCTTCCTATCCAGCTGACTTGAGGAAACTTAGCAATCAATAAGGTTCTCCATTTCCTCCCCCTACATCTAAATGTATATATTGGATTGGGGAGAATACATATTTTAAGTAGTTCTGACGATGTATGATGGAGGACATGTAGACATGACAGTGACCAGGAATGTCTATATTGGGAGCCCTGTCACTGGACACTGCGTGTACCGTACACATTGGTGTCACCCTGACAGTCAACTCCACCAAAATGGGCCTGGGGGCATCTGTGCTGTGATTGGTGCTCAGGATCACATGACAGAGACAGCTCAACCTGTATGGTTATGGTGAGGAGCCAAATATAATATTATAGAGGTCTATAAA